ACATGGAAATCAGTAAACATACATGGAGATATCCACTCAGGACATCCACTGAAGTGGTTGTGCCAAATCCTCTAGAGCAGGGCTGTCAAAGTCCTGGCCCACGGGCCGGATGCATCACATGTTGGCCACACCCATGCCCGGTTTAGCAATGCCCGATACATCACTTGATGCCGCTATGACAATGTGAGTTTAACACCCACTTCTAGAGGACGTAGCTGTTTTAACATGATTCATTTGTGAAAACTTGTTTTGTGAAACATCCCTTCTGGATAGTTGGTACTTCCCTAATTCATAACATAGTATATTTATTTATTATAGCAATATGCTTTGTTGAAAATAATCCGTTGCTCAAAGAATTTAGATCAAGTTACTTGTACTAGAAAAAGCCACCTTATTTCACCCCGATATAGGGTTTTATATACATAGACCATGTGAAACATTACCCAGAATACAGGACACAAAGTTCCTCTTTCTTTATAGTTAATAATGGGATAGTTGAATGTTTTTCCTTTAGATTGGCCTTATTTTGCTCACAGGCTAAGACACAGCCAAGCCATGGATCTGCCTTTTCAGCAAGAGCCAAAAGAAAAGCTGAGCCATTGGATCCGATTATAAACATACAAAAAGCAAACTTCATGGGAGTATATTAAAAATTGCTGAAGCACTAAGGATATATAATCTACTGGCATTCTTACTGGCTTTTTTGCTTTCCTGGCTGACAAAGATGCCAGAACCAACCACCCATTTCAGTCTTAAGTATCAGGTTAAAAAAAATTAATTTCCAAGCTTTGTCAGGAAAGATAGCTCTGGATGATCTGGAGAAATGAAGCCCAGTGCAGAACAGCCTAGCAAAAATTAGTGTGATTTACTCTTTCAAAATAAAGACTTTAGTAGGGTCATTGGTTTACCCTTAAGAAATGGCCCAAACTGTAGCTTTTGTGTAATTGCTCTACATCATTTTAATGGAGTAAATGAGAGAATAATGACTCAGAGGCAAACTTTAAAGGAAACACCATGTCATTTACTTTGCATTCTGGAGCTCAGTTTTCAACCCAGGTATCCCTAGCTTCATGCTAAAAACTTGTCCCCTGCAGAAATTTTGACAGCTCAGAAGATGGTTTGCTTTGTGCATGGTAGCAGCTATTGATAAGTAGAATTAAAAAAAAAAACAATTCAGAAAATTAGATTTTAAGTTGTTGAGCTTTGGGCAATAGTCTGACAGTCTTAACCCACAGGTGGCAAAAGACAAAGTTTTTAAAAGAAATATTCCTTCACTTCATGCTGAGAAAGTTTCTGGTTACCACATTCCAGAAAGTGATGCTATCTTTAGAAATTAGGAGATGAGTCTTCCAAAAGAATACAAAAGCCATATGTAGTTACCGGTATACCTAGTTTGATGCAGTTGGGATAGCCAAATAGAATAGAACTTATTTGAAAAGTACTTTAGTCTGATGTGAGCAGTGATGTTGTGATGGTGATGTACATCTGTATCTGTAAGTTCTACAATTTTTTTCTTTTCTCCTGGAATCTGGGTAGAGTTTCCCCCAGTCTTGGAGTCAAAGTTTTGTCATGATACTTACATTCTTTATAATACAAAAGCACCCAGTTCTCAAGGCATTCAAGGCTCTTGTCCAGTGTCTGAAAACCAGAATCTTATTGAATTGTAAGGCATGGATGTAGATTAACCAACCTTCTCCCAAAGTCATTGATGTGGTGAAAGAAGCCCCCCTTCCCCACCCCTGAAACAAGAACCTGTTTTCTGATATTTAAACACAAAATTAAAAATGTGCAGAGTAGATCAAGCTTGTCTATAATGCTAAACTCTGATTAAGCATCTCCTTCACCTTCCACCTTTCTGTTAACTCCATGGACCATCCAGCAGAATTTCCAAGGTGAAAGAATTCATTGTACATCACAAAGGACAGGAAATGCTTTCCTAGCAAGACCAATCAAGCTATTAATCTTATAATAAAGTAAGAACTATTACAGCAGAAAGTATTCATTTCTACATTATTAAGGCTTATGTATTGTGTTTGAACAAATGAGTTTCACTCATTCTTTTTGGTATTTCATATTTATCCAAATAAAGCTTTATTGCAAGGCAAGCTGCCTCTAGATGCCACACAATTCCTTTTATGTACATTGTGAAAATAGCTCTAATGCATTAGCTCTATCACATTTCCAATATTCTGCCTTACTAAAATATCAGGGGATGTGACTTTCAGACAGAAAATAGGCTGCATTTATTTATTATTTAAATCAATTTATATTGTTGCCCAACTCATAAACAAGTGACTCTGGGCAGCATACAGCAGCTAAAAGCAATAATTTAAAGGTATAAAAACCAAGCTAGAACAAAGAATAACAGAGGAAAGTGGTATTAAGAATAGCAGAGCCCCTTACTACTTCACTTATCTCCTGGAGTCCTTAGACCTGCTGACATAAGCAGGACTTGAGGGACTTCCAGAAACTCAACAAGGCCAATCTCACTTCAGGAGAGGAGAAGATTCCACCTCAGGGGAGGGGAGAAGAGAAGATTCCACAGTGTGAACACCACGGCAAAAAATGGCCCATGTTTAGAGCCTGCCAAATATAATAAGGGATGGAACCTGTAACATGCCTTCTCCACTGGATTCTTTCCTCTTTCTCCATTTCTATTGAACATGTACATGAAACCACTGCACAAGTTGATCCACAAACACATATTCATCAATAAACCTCCACCATACATTTCAGCCCTAGATTGGAAAAAAAAATGATGCTGTTGAGATGTCTCTAGGTGTTTGGAAGCTTTTAGATGTTAAATCTTTTCATTACCTAGGTCTTGGCATCTGCAAGACTGTTTATTCCAAATGTTATTTCCCCAGCCAACAAAATTTTCCTATCTAACATGATCCCCATCCAACCACAGTAGAGTTCCTCCAGGTCTTTTCACTTATGGGATGATATCTCCAGGGCTCGCAGAGGGAAGCCATTTCAGTACCATCCATGTTTGTCAAAGCAACATACTGCCAGATATTTAGATGGCCCCTTCCCTCTTCATTTTTAGGAAAATCATTGAAACATGGTTATTCCGTCACACCTTGATGCTGGAACACTGGGATGTACTCTGTGGTAGTGAAAAGATTTTGGAATTTTTGTTTATATGGATGTTTGTAGGCTGAATAATTATTGATTTGTCTCTTTATATACTACTGTATTGTGTTTAATTATATTTAAGGAAGTTGGAATGTATACTATTCAGCTTGTTAAAACACTACAGTAAACATAAAATATCTGACAAACTTTCAGAGATAGAATTTGACAAAAAAGCCCACAATTTTCAGAAGGGATTTAGTTTCTAAAAAATTGCTACTGCAGTCTGTTGAAACAAAAGCAACATAAATGTCACACACACACACACACACACACACAGAGAGAGAGAGAGAGAGAGAGAGAGAGAGAGAGAGAGGAAAAAACAGCTTTTGATATTCTCAGATTAGTGTGAACATGCCATGTGGCTGTGGTCATAGAAAAATATGTTTGTGGTTTACAAAGCAAGTTTCTTAATGTCAAAAGAGTGTAAGAGTTTCACACAGGAATATGCATTTTATTTAGCTTGATTCAAACCTGGAATAAACATAGATATGCACAGACATTCTAAGAAGATATAAAATTGTAATTGCTTTCGAGGACAACCAGAAGTAAACAGGTTTGGAGAATTCACATTCTAAAATGTTTTAGGTCAATTTATAAACAGCATTATAATCTCAGAGATTATACAATTGTAAGATTTTATAATTGTAAGATTTTATGGATAAATTATTAAATCTGTATGAAAGAATTTATTGTATGTATCTGGGGAGGAAGGCACATACAGTGGAGATATCAGCATTCTAGTTGGCCTTAAGAAAGCTCCTAATACATTTTGAATAATTAGTTAATAACTATTAGCCTTCCTCCCTTCCTTCCTTCCTTCCTTCCTTCCTTCCTTCCTTCCTTCCTTCCTTCCTTCCTTCCTTCCTTCTTTAAATAAGTTCCTCTCTGACTATCTCCTTTATGCCATCCAAATTATTCCAGAAAGACCTGGAGAATTTGCCCATGGCTCCCGTGTGACAGTCATTAAGTGAATCTTTGCAGTTGTTATGCAAATCCACAGTTGTTAAATGAAGTGTTGCTGAAAACCAGAAGTGCATTTAAATGAAGTTGTGTTGCTGACCACCCAGAATTCGATCTTATGACTGCAGGGGAACCTGATTATTGAAGCTTCAAATCTGGGTCATAAGTCCCTTTTTCAGGTCAGTCAGTTGTAACTTTGAATGCTAGCTAAGCGGCCAATTGTAAGTCAAAGGACAACTGTAGCACCTGCTGTAAGAGCAAAGCTGGTTCTGAGTTACTAGCTATCCCTGAGGAATCAATTTTCTATGGGATTTCTCAACAGAATCCCTTCTAGATCCACTAGCATTTATTTAATTTTTAGGTGTGGGATTTTTACAAATGTTTTTACAACTTTTACTGATATCATTGAGAAGAGAGATATTGACTAAGGTACAACAAACTGAGTTCAAGTCTCATCTCAGGAATGAAGCCAGTTGGGTGAGTTTTCCAGTCTCTCCTCCCCCCAGTAAGAACCAGTGAAGACAACTGGTAGGAAGACAAATCTTGGTTTTGTTGCTTGGTCTTAATAAAGGTCTTGCTCTCAATTTTCTTTTTTAAAATTTGCAATGCAGGAAAGAAAAGATGCCTCATACACAAGATACTGAGTGGGAAATTTTCTGTGCCAAAAATTCTGTTGCCCAGTGATTTTTGACCTGAATAAAAGTGTCAAACTCTATCTCCTATTTTTTGCGCATGTCCTTCCAATAATCTCCATTCATTTTTGGTACATTGACAGAGTTTGAAGGAAAGTGTAATAAGATCATACTCCAAAACTCGGTTTTCCATTGGTTTTTGGCTAATTTATCAATAAGTCAATCTGTGCGTAGGCAATATCCATAATTATATTATGTTTTTCTTTCCAGCAGCGTCATGTGATCAAGAGCTCCAGTCAGCATTAGAAGAAGCTAAACAGCCCCAGAAAGATAATGTATTCATTCCAGAGTGTGCTAATGGTGGGCTTTATAAACCAGTACAGTGCCATCCCTCCACAGGATATTGCTGGTGTGTCCTTGTTGATACAGGACGCCCTATTCCTGGTACATCCACAAGGTAAGAGATCTTCATTGGAGAAGTGGTCATACAATAACAGATTCTTATCTGGACCCTTTTCTAAGGAAGAGGGACAATTAGGAACAAACACATGCACATATATATATGGAGCTATGTGACGTTGCTGTCTTTACCCAAAGACTAAAAGGGCTGTTGTTGTTAGTTGCAAAGTCATGTCCGACCCCATGGACAACATTCCTCCAGGCCTTCCTGTCCTCTACTATCCTCTGGAATCCATTTAAGGTCAAGCCTACTGCTTCAGTGATGCAATCCAACCACCTCTTTCTCTATCGTCCCTTTCTTCTTTTGCCCTCAATCTTTCCCACCATTAGCCTCTTCTCCAGTGAATCTTTCCTTCTCATTTGTTGGCCAAAGTACTTGAGTGTCAACTTCAGGATCTGGCCTTCTAAAGAGCAGTCAGGGTTGATCTCCTCTAGGATTGACCAGTTTGATCGCCTTGCAGTCCAAGGGACTCTCAGGAGTCTTCTCCAGAATCATAGTTCAAAGGGCTCAATTCTTTGGCGCTCAGCCTTTCTTATGGTCCAACTTTCACAGCCATACATTGCAACTGGGAAAAAAAGGGCTATAACTGCACAAAATAGACTATGATTATGATGTAACAGTTCTATGGCAATTTAACATACAAAAGATCTTACTGTTTCTCATTGTAACCGGAGTAATCAACATACTTAACATGCTTTGAGTGCTGACATTCACAGTTTTTTATAATGAAGTTTATTGCAAGATGTTTGAATCAGTAAGCAATTAAAACTAAGGGAACAGTTGTGAGCCATTAAAATAATGGCAGATTTGTCACGGAAAGTGTAAAAAAATTTCTTACTGCTCAACTAAAAATTCTGATTACATTCCCATTATTTTCAGTAGTTTTATTCAGATTTAAACCAATAATTTACAGTATGATCATGGTAGTAATAGAGGAATAAATAAAAAAAATGCTATATATATAAATCAGGGGTGGGTTCTGGCCGGCTTTACTGCCAGTTCGGGAGTGTGGTAGGCCTGGGTCGCTGCCAGTTCCAGAGAATCAGGCCACCATACTACTACTGCTTCCGTCAAACCAGTCCAAACTGGTAGGAACCCACCTCTGATATAAATAATAAAAACATCACTAAGATCATTGAAAAGGCCTAAATTAAGCATAGGTTTCTTTTTATCTCCTTCTGAAAAGACCAAGAAGTAGCAAATGGTAATTACGTTTAAATCTGACTTTAGTCCATAGGATTTTTCTCATTAATTATTAGCATGCTTAAAAGTAATCAGCAAGGCAGCACTTGTTATGTTATTAAGCAACTGTCAAACCAGGAAGGTAATGAAGTCAGGGGCTTCAGCTTTTGTTATTAATTTAAATCTTTATTCATGTTTCAAGCTCTTAATATGATTTTGTGGAAATCGTTCTTTCTGAATTCAATTCTCTACTTTAAAGTTGGAATAACCTTTACAAACTTCAGAGTTGATGTGAAAAGATTCAAGACTGTGAAGTTGTTTATATCGCAAAAAGTGACAACACAAGAAGAGAAAAGAGTAAACTGGGGGGGGGGGAGATCAGTTCTGCCAGCATCTATATGCTATAGGAAAAGAAATGTAGCATCAGAAAGATCTTTCTATTTTTTCCCCCTGAAACAGTTCCTTCAGCCCATTTTCACATGATTAACTTCCCATGGAGCAACACTGCTGGAACCAGTAGAAAGGAGAACAATATTTTTAATATGTTGTTAAACAGTAAGTTGAAGTTCATGAGTTTCAGCTGAGCCAGAAGCAGGGAAAAGAGCTGAGAGCTTTGTTTAGCAGACAAAGCAGACAAAATATCACTTTCCAAAGGCAACAATGTGGGCTTGGCGTCTTTAGGAATGCTTGTATGGAAGCTCACCAGGAACCAATGCAGTGTGTTTAGCTTGATACAAGCACAAACAGTTTGAAAAGGAGAACATTCAAACAATGCTTTAGAGAGTTAACTGCAGAAAGCCAGACTATCTGCTCACGCTCACAATTTCAGTTGAGGAAGGGCTGTGCGGGCAGTAGCCTAGTTTAGGTTTAATTCCCTGCACCTCCGAATAGGACTTGTAATATGATTGTAATCGGAGCCTCTGCAAAGACAATGTCAACAACTCTAAGCTGGGTGAACCAGTGAGCCTCATTTGATCTCACCTGATCTCATTTGATCTTGCTATTTCTGCCTTATACTTGCTTCTTTTGTTCTGGGAATGTCACAAGAGCCTGTGTTTCTTACACTTTTAAAGTAGCCCGAGGGCTTTTATAGACTTTGTTGTGAGAGATGATATGGCAGAGGCCAGATAACCAGTGATGAGGAATTGTGGGAATTATAATTCAAAGACCAATATTTTCCCCCTCCAAATATACTACATGGTCAATTGGGCTACATTGTGAATATTTGTGGTAAGGGTAATTATTATGTAGATTAAGAAACACTTAAAATTGAAAAGGTGAATTTTCCCCTTTGCTCCAATTCTTCACATTTCTGGATACATTTTGATGGCAGGTATGCAGTATATTCCATAAACTTTAATATATTGCATTCTTGTTGGAAGTTTAATTATGTCATTTTTAAAACAAATTTTCTAGATCTCATGTTTATGGAGAATGGATTCAAAATGTTTTGTTGTTGCTACAGCTGCTATTAATTCTGCTCAAAACCAGAATTACTCAATGCTCAGAAGGCATTATATGATATTGTTCCATTTCCAGAGCTAAGGCTCTAATGGAAAACATTTTTGCCACTTGAAATCCCTTCACCCTGCTCCCCCCAAAAAAGGCCAGGGGCAGAATTTTAATAAGTAAACCAAGGTTGTGTTTCATCTCCCCTTCTGGCTGGTTGTTACTTTTGCTAGGCCAAAAATAATGTCAAGCAAGATTGTGGACTTCGTCATCCTCCAGACATTGCTGAACTACAGGTCCCAGCATTTTGCACAATTTTGCACTATTGGCCAGCCTGGCTAAAGCATTTGGGAACTGCAGATGTAAGAGAGAGAGAGAGAGAGAGAGAGAGAGAGTAGAAGGGAGGAAAAGTATAGGAGAGAGAGGAGTGGAAAGAGGAGAGAAGAAAAGGAGAGAGAAAGGAGAAATAGAGAAGAGAGGGATGGTAGAGGGAAGAAAGGAGGTAGGGAGGAAGAGAGGGGGAGAGGAAACAGGAAGGTGGTGGATAGGATATAATATCGTGTATGGAAAGCAGAAGAGCAAATGATAGCCTATGTGGGTTGATGGTAAGAGGAACTGATATAATATTGGATAACACAAAATAGTGCTGGTTAAGATGTAATGGTATACCTGTGGTTACTTGTATGAAAATTTTAAAAAAACTTTTCAAAAAAAAGTCTGAGGTGGTGATTTGTTGCTGGATAGAACACAACTCTGGAAGGTTGTAGGAAGAATTGAAAAGTGAAATCATGAAGTGCGGGTTGTAATGGAGAAACTGAAGGGCAGCAGGAAAAAGGAAGGAAGGAATGCAGAGTGGGGTATCAGATTAATTTGAGATCAGGCTCTTTGCCACATGCCACATTAGAGCACCCAGTTCAAAGACTTTTTCTGTCATTCTTTAGTTGGTTTTTTTTTTAAAAAAAGTCATGTGACAGCAATTACCACCCACTTCATCCAAAGCTTACTATCAAAACAGCTTCTGTTCTTCTTATTCAAAAAGTTCCCTTTCACCCATAGGCACCTATTAAGCTGAGCATGAAATTGCATTGCACCTTCTTGCAGCAGCTTATATCAGATGGGCTATTAGCCAATTCCAGAAATGTTCATTTCCTTCACACAATGAGGAGATAAATTAAACACTGGAGGCAGACTACTTATTTCATTCTAACCATATATTATTCTCATGACCAGAACAGTATCAAAACACATTGTGATTTGTTATAAGGGCTTGGAAAGAATCCCCCCCCCCACGCCTTAAATTTTATTAAATTTTCTAGCATTACATGGACTTAACCCCTAACTGTGCATCTCCCCCATATATCCATACGAGTGTATTTATGTTATGATTTTTTTTGGTTCCATCACATATAATCCCATAGCCATATTTCATATCAGACATAGATATGGAAACCAAAGTGTAAAGTTCAGAAAGGCAGTAGGGAAAATGAAACATTGGAATATATAGAGTAAATCACTTACCTCCCTTCTGTCTGGTCCATTTTTGTGTAGCATATGATCACATTGTTCTCCAGAGATTAGTTAAAAAAAAATCAGTTGCCTAGGAATTCTAGAAGATTGAATTTTTCAAGCATTCTTAGTGCTCAATTTGTCAATTTATTTACTTATTTAACATTTGTATTTTTAATGCAAATAATACAAACATAGATATATACATCTAAATACAAAAAAAGAAAGGAAAAAAAGAAAAGGAAAAAAACTAATATTATAGTACAACCCCACGGAGACCCTATTCCCCCCCCTATATTTCTTCTTCTTTAACAACTAAAGAATATACAATATATTCCAATTGTGCCCTTATCCCTTTCAAAACAACATATATTCTTGAGTAGGTTTATTCCCTTTGCCTTCCACCAACACTGATTTTATAAAAAAAAATCCCATATTTCATTATAATTTTTTACTTTGTTCCCTTTTTTTTAAATGTAGTTTCCATTGTTAATTTATCATTTGTTGCCATAGTCCAAATTTCATTATACCACTCATTTCTTTGAATATCCCAATTTCATCCCCAATATTTAGCCATCACTAATCTAGNACACTGCCACTAAGACATCCAAGGTTTTTTGCTAGGTTTCAAACAAATTCAGTGTAATCTTTCAAGTCAAGGCTTTCTCTTTACTCCAAAAGAGCTGGTGGCAGTGTTACTTACTTTTCTTCTGCTTTTACCTCTGTCTCTAATCTCCGAACTCAAAAAGAGAGAAAAAAATGCTTAAAAGTTATGATCCAGCTGAGCCTTGAGAGGAAAGAGAATTTCAATCCACAAACAAAAAAAATGGAAAAAAATAGAAGAAGAAAGGGGGGGGGGGGAGACCAGTCCAATTTTAAAAGGAAGAGGCATTTGTAAAAATTCCATCCATAGAAAGAAATTAAATTAAAGTGAAAAAGATAACACAATAGTTTTAATTCAGGCTTAATTCTCCACTTCAATTAAAATCTTCAATTTTAATTTAACTCTAAATCTTTTTGGGTGTTCTCTTCTCTAATAGTAAAATTTTTCTCATCATTTCCGACACACTCTATCTCCTCTTCTGCTTCCATTTCAGGGGTCTGTCCCAACCTTCTGCAGCCTCAATGGCTGCTTCCCTTGTAGCCAGAAAAAAGAGCTTCTCCTGGATTGATCAGGGGCTTTGCGATGCCCCTGAGATCAGCAGGACATGCCCTTCTCTGTCACCATCTCTACAGGATGGTTTAGGTCAAAAAAGGACTGTCCAACAACAGAGATATCGACAGGAATCCTGGAGCTCCAAGATTGCATGTCGTATCGTAGCGACGTCAACCCTGCTCTCCTTCATGTAATAAACTCTTGAGTGGGACCAGGAGATGTGATTCTCTATTGCTGTGCCTACTTTTTGGAACAGCTTTTCCTCCAAGGCTCAGATAAACCCAAACCTGCTTGACTTTCAGAAGGTATTCCTTAGGCACTCAGTTGGAGAAGAGTGTCAGCAGAAGAGCAGCCACATACAAAAGGTATTGCAATGACTTAAGAGAAAATGATAGATGATCTGACTTAAGAAAGATAGCATGCCAACTAAAGCTAAGTAGAAGCAGGCTAGCTATGAATCTTATATTTTATAAGAAACATAGCTTCATTCACAATAGATTTAACTTGCCAATATTTCAATAATAATTTCAGAGAACTCATGAAAATGTTTTTTTCCTCTGTCACATGTTTTATCACAACTAGAACCTATGCCAATGGCTTTGAGCCATTTTCCAAAAGTCCTTCAAAACTAGTTGTTTGTTCTATATCCTTGGGTTCAAAGAAGTGGGAGTTGGCTGTGTAGCATCATAGTTCCTGAGCCTGGTTAATATTGCAATCTGAAAATCTCATCACTTCACCCTACTTAAAATAGGTCCTCTGGTTTAGATCATTGAGATCTGCCCAACAAGATGCTGTTACATAAAGGAAAAACCATTTGATAGGGAAAAATCAGAAAAGTTGTGAGTAGTTTCCACAGACCTTGGAAAGAATTGCTTCATTTATAATTACAGCATTTTAATTCTGCGTAGAATTGAGTTTCTTAACTTTAAATGGCTTGGGAGATTTCAAAGAGGCATGATATTTATAATTGAGTATTCTTGGAAATCCCAATCTGTCCCATTGATTCATTGTACAGTTGTTCGCAAAACATAAGCTGGCTGTTGTAAACATCTGGTTCCTAATTTTACAAGCCATTCTCAATAATAAAACCACAAGCTCTCACACTGTTCTAAATCTATAATGGCCTAAGAAATGGCATACTTTCAGAGAGCAACAGAAAAGCATCAGTAAATCCCTTCTTCTCCATCTGCTGCCTGGATTTATCAATCCTCTTCCTCTCCCAATTTGAAGGATCTTCCCTACTTAGAATTTGGCACATTTCAAAGATTTTCCAACCAACAAATGTAATGGGATTGGAGAATAGCTTTTGCAACTCACTTGTGCAAACCTGCAAATAGAGTTAAAAAATATGCATATAATATTATCATGGCAAGAAATATGTTCTTATTGTAGGAAGAATGGTCATCTTAACATACTTTGAATAGGTGTGTTCATATATTTAAAGATTCTTTGGATTGCATCATTAACTTGTTCAACAGTACCTGTATGTATGTATGTATGTATGTATGTGTGTATGTGTGTATGTGTGTATGTGTGTATGTGTGTATGTGTGTGTGTATGTGTGTATGTGTGTGTGTATATATATATATATGTGTGTGTGTATACACACACACATACATATACATACATATATACATACATACATACATACATACATACATACATACATAC